CAAGTGGCAGCTAAAAGTGCTTCACAGACAGGTGATGAAGCGTAACAGTAATAGAACAGAAATATAAGTATTCATTTGAAAAAATATAAGACATTGACACAGATAAAAAAAAGATTCATTACTATTTCTCAAATGATTAAAAGCTACTTTAGTGACTGTATTTACATGAAGGATAAAACAGAGCTCAGAATCTAAGATTATAGGTTTTGTACTTCATGTGTGGTGTACGAGGCTAAAGAATCAAGCTTCTCATAAAGCATTTTTCTCTGAGTTTTAGCACCAAGGATCAGTTTTTTCATGATTAATTATCAGAAGGAAGGGAAATGTATAATTGCATGTCATCAACTTTACTATGAAAACTGATATTATGTTTCTTTTGTGTCTTAAGCTTGTGAGAGAGGCTGGCCACTACCTCCGGGTATCTGAGTGGACATAATTAGCAGTGTTTGGGCAGTGGACAGCACGCTCCACTGACCCACGAGCATTGAGCAAGAGCGAAAGGGCACATAGAGGTTAGAGACGTCCACTCAGCCTGAGGGAACCACTGTTATTTAAGTCAAGCCAGTGCAGTGCATTGTGGTGGAAAGTGTGCTGTCTGTCTGGGTAGTTTTCTATATATATATATATATATATATATATATATACACATATCGTGCTATTAGCGGTCAGAACCTGCCACAAAGCCGCCAATAGCATTAAACATGCTACTAGTCTCTGTACTTTACCAACATAAAGACATCACATACTGTGCTGTATCATTTGGTCATCATGTACAAGCTACGCTAGTCCTTATATAACAGTGCTTCAAACGGAAACATTTACACCCGCAAGGAAAATGCTAATATATTCTAGCAGGAATATGAAATATTAAGCTAACAACATTTTTTTTACCCATACTGGGTTCAATATCACACGGCTCGATGCTACATATGGACAAACAAAGCTTGTTACAGACATTAGGGTAACTGACCACTTCAGTAAGTACACCTACATTGTATCTACTCTCATTGTCTATTTTATAAGCTCCATTTGCTATGTAGGTGCACTTCGTAGTTCTACAATTACAGACTGTAGTCCATCTGTTTCTCTGCATGCTTTGTTAGCTCCCTTTTTACCCAACCACACCACCACACAGCAGGTACTATTTACAAGCACAAGTTCTGGGCTACCCAAAGAACTTCGTCAAGCAATAACGTGTTAGTTGGTCCAGCAGGCATCGGTTGCTTCTTCCAGTTTATTTTAGGAATATGAAAAAGCGCTGGGTCCAGCATTCATGGATATACTCATATACTAGTGGGGATGTGTTAGTGTGTGTTGTGCTGGTCTGAGTGGATCAGACACAGCAATGCTGCTGGAATTTAACACCCCTGTGTCACTGCTGGACTGAGAAATCAACCATCCGCCAAAACATATCCAACAAAAGCGCCCTGTGGGCAGTGTCCTCTGATGCTGATGAAGGACTAGAGGATGACTAATACAAACTGTGCAGCAGCAGATGAGCTACTGTCTCTGACTTAACATCTACAAGGTGGACCAACAAAGTAGGTGTGTCTTACAGAGTGGACAGTAAGTGTACACAGTGTTTAAAAACTCCAGCAGCACTGCTGTGTCTGATCCACTCATACCAGTGTGATACACACCAGCACGCAGCCACCATTTAAGTGTGGTAATTTAAGTGTAATTTAGTTAGACTGTCTTGGTACTTATTATCATTTTACTTGAAATAATTACACAGCACTTTGGAAGTGCTTTCACATTAACTTATCAGGATAATACCTATAACTTAGGGGACTGTAAAAGAAAGGATTGTGGGTGACTGAAGGTCTTGAGGAATATACCAGTTGAGTCTTCTGATTTCTCAGAATCAAAATGCATTTCTCAGATACATTTGAAGGATCATACAAAACCAGGGCAGCCTTCAGTGATGTAATGGCTGAGAAATCCAGCTGTATCCCTGATATTGAGACAAGGCTACAGAGAGAGAGAGAGAGAGAGAGAGGACAAATTGCAGCATTTTCATTAATTCCAATTTTTCTTTAGAAAACAGAAGAGCTATTAACATAGGCCAATAACAGAATCCTCTTATTTGCTTTGAAATAACAGTAAACAGTTAAACTGGATATCCAGCGTCAATAATGACAGCTTGAAATTCATGGTAGGTTGTGATTAAGCTTCATTTTAGATGCTAGGTTTGTCTTCAGGTTGCAAAAAAAGAAAAAAAATGGAGACGGCATTTTCTATCACAGTTTTGTTATTACATTATTGTGATGTCGATTCAAACAAGACTACTATTACTATTAGCTCTGGAATTGTTAATTAGCAAACTTGTAAAACCAACGGACACTGCAGCTTCGTACTGGATTAAGATCACAGATCTAGCTGGGAATCACTCAAATTACGACACCTCTCTAACTACAACTAATCCAGCTCAAACAGGGCTTTAAGTTGTTTTTAAATAAAGTTGTTTTTAAATAAACAACTAGTTCTGCCAGTATTTTTTACACATCAATATATTGTCAATAAAAAGTCAAGTGCAGCGAGTGCAGCATTGTCATTTCAAACAGCACATATTAAAGAATGGCCAACACCAGTGCCTGCTTGAAGGAAATTCCTTTTTATACACTTTTTAGAGATTTTACCCAATGTAATCAAACACGCACACACACACACACACACACACACACACACACACAAAATAACCCTTTTCACAGAAATTCCTTAAAAACTGTACCTACACTTGAGATCTGCCCTTAAGACATATGGTGAGCCTCCCCTTGTCCTTTCCACTCAATGTCACAGCTGGTCAAACCTACCTTGCCCTCTCAAGGCTCTGTATCCAAGTTATATCATAGTCCAATTGACTGTGTTAAAAATACCCCATAAACTCCCACTGCATCATTGTGGAATAGGGAACTAGAAGCTTTAAACTGTCATACAATATGGCCTGATCTCAACGAAACTTCAAAAAATTTGGCTCAAACCATTGTGGAATCACATCAGTTCTGTTTTATCTGGTTTAATCAAAATCAATACAAACCTAATCCATGTTTATGTCTCATGAATGACTATTCAAGTCTTGGTTTTAACGTAATACAAAGTAAAACGTTATTTGCTGGCTTTACCTCTGCTAAGGAAACAATCTTACAATACAGGATTACACCCAGGAATCACATGCATTCATTTTGGATATCAGACTTACTTAACCCTTGTTTGGTGTTGATGTGTTTGTTACATAGTGGTGAACCCACCACACTGTTTTTTTTTTTTAAATCAATACAGCCAAAACAATTTATGTAAAAATACCAGATGTTTAAAATGACACAAGAGTTTTGCGTAGGGCTCTCCTTTAGCAGCTGTAGCCAGTCAGCAGCCTGTACATGTTGTCTACCCTCACACACACACACACATTTACAGACACAGACACAGACACACACACACACACACTAACAGCAGGCCATGTAGGAGGAGAACAGAGCGAAGGGACACAGCACCTCCACTTTTATTCCCTGTGGGTTCAGCCCAACACCACATGTGTACTATAAATGTGTAGGGGGTGAACAGTGTGAAGTCACTGAAAATTTGTTATTTTACATGAAAATGAGCAAAGGGTCCCACAGACCTGAACACCACACAAGGGTTGAAATTATGAACATTTAACGTAAAACAGCATGACTCACCCAAGCATAACCGACAAGCGTTGAAGCCTGGAAGTCTTTTGCGTTACATTTCCTGGACTTTATGCAGTATAAGGGAAAAAGTAAAAATATTCTTCTCATCTGAAGTGATGAATTTACTTGCGACTGCCGTTACTCTTTGTAATTATTCCTCCTTATTTTGTCTTGTTTGTCTGCTGCCACCCATATTTTGTTCATGTTTTGCTAATATGACAAAACAAACATTTTTGATAACAAAAAGAATAAATTCCTTCAAGATCTCAAGTACAAAAACTTCTAATTTAAATACTTCTTTAAGGTACAGATGAACCAAAATGATTAAATGATTGCGAATTGTGATTTCAGTCATATCCTGACGAACGTTTCCCAGAAGGGTCTTTGCTCTGCTCTCCGATTTGCACAGTCATCTTTCCAGAGAACGGTTTGGCATAATATCTACACTGATTATTTAATGGCTTTAGGCCTATATTACTTGCTTGAAATGCAAATGAAAGCAGCATACAGATTTAGTCATATGCTCTTACAAGAACATACATCACTGACAGCTTCAGCGAACTTATTCTAATTCTAAGTATAAAGAATGATTACCAAGAAAAATGCAGTAGACCTATATTCCATTTTCTATGCTTATAAGAATAAAGCTTTTGATAAAGGCATGGCACAGAATAAAAGAACATCACATGAAATCTTCTGACCTTGGTGGCTACTTTATTAGAAACCCCTAGCTAGTAGATTCACCTTGCTGGTGTGTAGTTATAACACTAGGGCAAAATAAAGTGTGGGTGTCTGTGGAATGGTTTACTGGCTTATATTACTGATAATATACTTTTTAGAGTGACTTTTCCATAAAATGCCCCCAAACTAGAAATATTGCACAAACATTACAAGCTAAAACAGATTTCAGAATTGTCTGGAAACAAAAAGCTTTAAAATGTGAAATGCTCAATGAAAAACTGTCCAATCAAAGTTTATTTTCTTTGACGTATCTATGTAGATACAGCCAGGCAACCTCTTCCACTGGTTAGGACTTCAAGTGCTGAAGTCAGATTAGCCACTAACAACTGGGAACTGATAGTGGGGCACTAACAGAAATGAGCAACTATGCTGCTTTTTCTCATTTTGATATTTATGGCCTGAACTGAAGGCCTAGCTGTGACAATCATGGTTTGCCACTGGTAACAATACACCCATAATAGACTAATAAGGCAGGTGGACCTCATAATGTAGTCAGTGGGTGTAGGTGTTTCTATAAAAGTAAACACCGAGTGTCCCAGTGGGCCCACAGGGTGATATTGTGATTAGCTGGTGCTGCAGTGCACCACTCACCAGAGGGGGTGCTGTCACAGTCCTGTAGGTTACACTGGCGCGTGTTCTCTGGCCAGGGCTCGTGGTCACACTGGGCTTGCTCCTCTTCCTCCTCCTGCTCTGCCTTTGTGTTGACACATTTGACCAGCCGGCGCTGCACCCCTCCGCCGCAGGACACCGAGCACTGCCAACAAACACATGGCGTAAATGCCTGAGAATCACTCAAACCATCTGCAGGATGTCCACTCAGGGCTGACTGAAGCAGATATTCCATTAATAAACTTACCAGATTCTCCAGGAGTTTCTATGGAAACCAAGACTGTCCCTTCAAGGTCAACAAGTAAACTAATTCACTTCAATTCAAATTTATTGTCATTATACATGTATGGGGATACAGTATAATGAAACATGTTCTACTTCTCTGGTGCATAAACTTGAAGACAAGGACATGAATGCACTAATCTTAGTTGACATATTTTGTTAGTTGAGTCATTAAATTTATCTATTTCCTTATTAAGGAATTTAATTATTTGTTTATTTTTCCCAAGTGAACTATAGTTAAAAACTGTAGATGTTTCCGGAAATGGAGGTCTGAATCATGTAACTAGTGAGTCTCTGTGTCTATTTTTCTAAATATATTGTTCCTGCACATGATGTACAGCAAAAAGAAAGGCGGATGCAATGCAATTCAAATCAAACTTTTTTTGTATAGTGCTCTTTAAAACTGCCATTGTCACAAAGCAGCCTTATAGAAATCTGTGTCCAGGCCCCTAGTGAGCAAGCCAAGGGCAAGTCAAACTTCCTGAGAGCAAGAGGAAGAAACCTTGAGAGGAACAAAGACTCAACAGGGGAGCTAGAATAGTGAATAGGGAGAAGACTAATGAATATGTATGGTAGAATATTGATGAATACTAAGAAAAAAGGAAACAAGTTGGAAAAAGGCAAAAATGTTCAGATTACCAATGCCTACCAATGCCTATTCTAAAATGAAAGAAAATGAAATCCTGGAATGCCATGGGGACATTTAGAAAACCCTTGAATAGATAAGGAGGTCAGCGTGAGACATTTGTACAAATGAATGATCAATAAAAATTAATGAGTATTTTTAGCTTATGTTGAAGCAAGAATCACGAAAGTGAAAGAAAAACATTTTTTAAAAAACAGGCACAGAATGTAAAAATGATGTGAAGAAGTTGCAATGAACACCGCATAAAAAATATTTAATGTGTTTTAATGACTACAGTACAACTTTAAAGATGATGTACTTAAAAAGTGTCAAAAATATTTTGAAAGTGTTTAAAAAAGATGTTAAACTTTTTCACTATTTTCAGATATTCTAAGCAAAACAAGTGACCTCTGACATACATACTATATACTTATACACACATATACACACACACACACAATTTGTGGACACTCCTCCTAGTTATTGATTTCAGATGTTGTTAACAGGTATATAAAATCAAGCACATAACCATACAATCAACATAGACAAACACTGGCACTAGAATGGGTCTTACTAAAGGCCTAAGTGACTTTAAACATGCCACTGTCATACAATGCCAACTTTTCCACGTCAATTTGTGAAGTTTCTGCCCTGCAAGATCTGCGCTGGCCAACTGCAAGTGCTATTACTGTGAAATGGAAGCGTCTAGGAGCAAAAACAGCTCAGTCATGAAGCAACAGGCCACATAAACTCATTGTGGGAGTGCTGAGGTGTGTAGCACATAAAAATCGCAAGCATCAACTGGAGTGGTGTAAAACACGCAGTCCCTAGACTCTGGAGCAGTGGAAACATGTTCTCTGGAGTGATGAAACAGGTTTCATTATCTGGCAGTCTGATGGATGAAATCTGGGTTTGGCAGATGCCAGGAGAATGCTACTTACCAGAACGAATAGTGCCAACAGAAAAGTTTGGTGGAGGAGCGATAATGTCCTGAGGTTGTTTTTGTAGGGTTTAGGCTAGAATAATATTAATGCTACAGCAGACAAAGAGATTTTAGACAATTATATGCTTCCAACTTTGTGGCAACAGTTTGGGAAAGGCCCTTTTCTGTTCCAGCATGACTGAGCCCCTGTGCCCCTTAGTCCATAAGACATTTTTTTGACAAGTTTGGTCTGAAGTTACTCTAGTAGGCTGTACAGACCCTGACCTCAACCCCACTGAACACCTTTGAAATGAACTGGAACATAAATTGTGAGCCAGGTCTTCTAGCCCAAAATCAGTGCTTAACATCATTAATGCTCTTTTGACTGAAGAGCCACACACACTCAAAAATCTTGTGGAAAGCATTCTAAGAAGTGTGGAGGTTATTTTAGCCACAAAAGGGGGGCCAGCTCCATATTAATGGCCTTGTGTTTGGAATGGGATGTCTAACCTCATATTGGTGTGATGGGTAGGTGTCCACATACTTTTGGCACCATATTTTACATTTTTCTTGTATTTTTTTTTCATTTATGCGATTTTACGTGCTAAAAATAGTCATAATTCACTTTCACATGATCAAAACTCTCTTAATCCATTAGATTTAAACAGATTATTTTTGTTACGGGACATCTAAGACTGAAATACAGTCCACAAATATGAGCACCCCTGGTAAACATAAGCAAAACAGGCTGTAAAAGACATTCTTTATTGCATATCCTTTATTCCATATTTCATTCAAAATACTAAATAAAGATTATACTTTTGTTAAAGTATAAAGTTTAGTTATCAATAAACTGATAAGATTTTTCTCAAATCCGCCTGTCCCACAATTGTTGCCACCCCTACATGAACAAATCTGAGTCTTCTCCTATAATGTTTAATAAGACTGGAGAACACATGGCAAGGGATCTGAGACTGTTCCTCCACAAGGAATCTTTCCAGATCCTTTAAACTCTCCTCTTTAGCTCATTCCATGGGTTTTCTATAGGGTCTAGGTCAGGGGACTGTGGGCATGGCAAAACCTTAATTATGTCAGTGAGCCATTTTTGTGTTGATTTTGAGGCGTGCTTTGGATCACTGTCCTGCTGGAAGATCCAAACTATGGCCCAGTTATGCTTCATGGCTGAGTAAGTCAGCATTTGATTTTATTTCTGCTGATACTTGATGGAGTGTGTGATGCCATGTATACAAATAAACTGTTCAGGGCCTTGTGGTTATATAGGTGGTGTTTGACTGATTTTGGAGATTAAAAGGATAATTAATTAAGAATAATCTTACAGCTCATTTTGCATCATTACCAGTGGTGCCAATATTTGAGGACGGCAATGTATATATATGACCTCTGTTCTGACTGGATGGCCTGTATCATGCGTCATTCAAAAAGCAGTCCAGGCTGAAACACCCCTTATAACTCCAACATGAAAAAGTGGAGCATCTGTAGGCTGAATAAGTGGATATATGTGGATACACTGGTTTTTGTGACATCATGAAAATGATGAATTCAAAGTGGGCTGTTTTTTCAGCTTAGTTTTCATAAATGGACTGTATGGATTTAGGAATGAACAGTATATTTTGAAACTTTAACAATGTTTACGTACTACATCAAAGTCTTAAAAACTAGTAAAACTTCATTTCTTCATGGTATGGGCCTTTTAGGTTCTGTTTTCCAATATCTTCTCTTAATATGTTATACAGGTACTGATTAGTGATAAGCAAACTTTTTGGTCAACCAAGTCAAGTGCAGCCCTTAAAAAAGCCATTATCATCACGTTTGAGCCCCATAACGTGACTATGCGAGACAAAAGCACCTTGAAGCTTCATGCACATCCCAAATTTGTAAGACGGCTGTAAACGTGGAAAACTCAAAGCTGAAATAAAACGTGACGTTTCGAAACGTGAAGTTTTTTTGAGGGCGGATTTGGGTTTATCAAAGAGCGACTTTAATTAAAAGCTATGGTGCATTCACATAGCGTAGATACACAACCTGGCCCTTGCTGTGCATTGCATGTACTCAACACAGGTTGGAAACTGGAGAACACAAAGGTTCCCCAGGAGCACGAAGCAGCATTGACGTGGAGAAGGATTAAAGACAGCTTTTATGTATCAAAGCCTGGTTCTGCTGCACGGGGCACCGTATAACCATGATGAGTCACCAAATTGTTAGATGAGCACTGTGAGCTCAGATTTGACTTCAGAGTAATTGCTGGATTGGACTGCCTCCTATCTTTTCTTGAGTTTGGAAGTTCACAAGCCAAACAGTTTATTCGACAACGCTGTCTAACGTCTGAACAAACAGGACTTTGAACAAAAAAAGGCAGCCTGGATGTCAGTCTAAGACTCCCCATGACTAAAGTTTGATGTTATTTTACAAACATTTGCACTTAAAAGAAAAAAAGAAACAGCACAAAAAAGTGTTTAGTAATGACTACTACAACTGCCATTTACAAAGAGCTAGCATTCATGCATTCAGCACTGTAACCACGGTACAGGATTGTGCTTAACAAGACGGGAACACGCAGAGAAAATTAAGGACTAACAAGAGAAATAAGTAATAAAAAACTGTACTAAATCAGCTTTCAGGCTATACACAGTTCAACATGTTCATAAAAATTTGGACATTAACAAAGTTATTGCTATTTTAGCTGTCTACCACAGCACGAGAGTTGAAATGAAATAATGAATATGGGCTCTGCAGACTTTAATTTGAGAGTATTTACGTCCAAATTAGGCAACAGTGTAGGAATTACAACCATTTTTATACATAGCCCCCCCATTTTCTGGGCTCACAAATAGCTGCACAAACTAACATTGCCATTTTTAAACTGTCATTTTTAATCCTTGGCTGCAATTCCTTTGCAGTCAATGACTGCCTGAAGCCTGGAACCCCTAGACATTATCAGATGCTGGGTTTTTTCCCTGGTGATGATGTGCCAGGCCTTTACTGCAGCTGTCCCCAGTTCCTGCTTGTTCTTGGCACATGTTATCATCAGTTTTGTTTTTAGTAAGTGAAATGCATGCTTGATTGGATTGAGGTCAGCTGACTGACTTGACCCCAGCAGAAAATTCTCCTTTTTTTTTGCCTTAAAACAGTCTTGGGTTGCTTTCAGAGTATCTTTGGATCATTGTCAATCTGCGCCGTGAAACGCCATCCAATGATTTCTGGCAGCATTAGACTGAATCTAAAAAGATGATATAGTTCTATACTCATCAGAATTAATCCTGCTGCTTCTGTCAGCACTCACACCATTAATAAATAGAAGGGAATCGGTTCCATTGGCAGCCATATATGCCCATGCCACAACACTACCTCCACCGTTCTTGACAATAAGCTGGTATGCTTTGAAACATGTGCAGTTCATTCCCTTGTGCATCCTTGCCTTCCTTTCATTCTAGAACAAGTTGATCTTTGTCCCATCAAATGTTGTTCCAGAACTGTACAGGCTTTTTTTTTTTTTAGATGATTTTAGCAAACTCTAATTTGGTCTAATTTTGGGCTTGCCAATGGATTACACCTTGTGGTAAACCCTCTGTATTTACTCTAGTAAAGTCTTCTTTTGATTGTTGTGCAGTGGTAGACAATAACAATGACTTTGTCAACAAATAATTATGGATCTGAGTGTATATAAAAGTGTTCCAAGTTTGCTTATAACTATGTAATAATGTAATTAGTTTTCAGGCTAATGTTTCAGGGTCAGCAGATGAAAATGATCCATTTGGCTAAATACAGCACATTTACATCATGGAATAATAGTGGCAATTTTAATGCACACTGCCCCTGTTAAATAAATAAATAAAGTAGGAAAAGTAAAACAGCTAACAAGTATATTACTAGCAGTTAGTGAAGTTAGCAACTTGAGCAAACTGCATGTCTAAACTATCACATCATCATTGAGCACAATCTCAGACAGACTTCCTTATGCGTTTTTTATCTTTCATCTTTGGATTTTTTCCTTATTTTAGTCATTGCCAAATCTAACCCCTTAGCTAGCACAATGTCACGGAATACAAGCATTCTCATATGTAAAATCAAGGCAATTAACCCAACCAAACCATTTGTATACAAAGAATGGTTTGATTGGTTCAGATTACCCTCAGTGTCTGGACAATTGTGGAAAAGTTTTGGCACTGTTATCGATGTTCAGGCACTTGGCAGCACTGCAATGATAATTGAGAAGATTATGTTGAATTGACGTCTACCTTAGACTGCATAGAGTGCATAGCTACCTTTCCATTAAGCGATGGCAGAGATGGAGAGCCATTCTACCCATCCAAAGAGAGTGAGGCCAACTACACTCACTTGGACTTTGGGCCACAGATTGCTGTGACATTGACAGGGATCGAACTCGCAATCTCCTGAGAACAGGGCTAACAATTAGGTGCAAAACTGGTTGTTGACAGTGTGTGATATATTGTTTTGTATAAAATGGACAACAGTACAGACAAAATCAAATATTCAGGATGGCTACAAATACTATTTATATATATATATATATATATATATATATATATATATATATATATATATATATATATATATATATATATATATGCACACACACACTGCAAGAAATTACATAAGCCAGTCTTTTGAGAACCTGTAACAACTTTGCATTGTTTAAAGCAAGCGAGTGATGCTTTAGGCTAGCAGTTTACACAATACCATACTTATCAGCTACATTAGCCTTGTAGCTTCAGTGCAAAAGAAGCCCAAAGAAGTAGACATGTCTTGGCTGACTATATTAGCGGGTAAACTTGCATAAACCTGTTTTTTGACTGGACCATCACTTTAACTGTAGTGCTAAATAACAACAAGAGAGGATGCAAGAAAATGTACTTGGGGAGTAATGAGGCTCTTACTGACATCTTCAAATTGTTGAACTACAAGGAGGAACAAGTGATCCTGGATGAGGTCAAAGAGAAAGGCTCCCTGGCGGCCTATGGCTTTCTAGTTCTATTAGGACTTCTCCAGGGAAACGCCTTTGTGACGAAAGGCACTGCAAGCATTGCCCTAAGACCTGTACAAACTCTAATCAGTTTATGCCCTAAATGACTTCCCTGAAAGGAAGAGAAGAAGTTACCAAGTGACCAGTGAGAAAGTAGACAACTTACTGAGAAAACAATGCAATTCAGTTGAATATCATATCTTACACTAACTGCACGTTAGCTTACAATGACTGAATTGCCTGTGGCACAATTGGTAGCTATTTGAATATAGACTCTTTCTTCTTCTCTCATACCTCTGTGATCCAAGCCAATTAGGTATGAGCACAGTCATGTTCTTGTGTCTAGAGTTCCCCTCTGGCTGTGCTGAGGCACTTAACAATGCCGCATAGAATGTTTCATATCACAGCTGTCCAAAGAAAAACAAATCTCCAAAAAAAGTAACTTTACAGGAGACGGCAAAAACATTGTTAACTTTCAATGTAAGTTAATGTAAAAATGTTTAATTCTAAGTGATTTCGAAGTATTTCTATTGATGTATGGTCTTTGAGCTCATGAAACTATTAAAGTCTCAGGGGATGTGGTGTAAAACATGGAATGAAAAAAAAAGACAGAAATATAATAAAAATACTTCTTAAAAACCGCTGATTAAATCTGAGAACTGTCTGGACATGTTGGACAATATTCTGATGGGCATGTGTGATTGACACCCCTCAGTCCAAGGCTCCCAGTCTGCTACATCACTCATGTTTAACTAAAGACCATTATCCAGCCTTTATGTGGCTATGTCTTAAAGATGGTTAGGTTTTTATTCACTTTACTGCTGGATGTCCATCCAGGGAACACTGGCGCGGCCAGCTAAATGAACAAACAAACAAAGAAATGGACAAGCGACAAGCAAACAATAGACAAACAGATGAATAAACAAACGAATGAGCAACAGGAAGACAGACAAATGAGTTATGCTAGCTAGGTTAGGTTTCGCTTGGTTGTAAGCTTTCTCTTGGTAAGTTTCCCTGACTCAAACACAAAGAGATTCTAGGGGAACATAGATTTGATTAAGCTGTGTGGGCGGGATTGGCGAGTATGCGCCACTTATGTAAGCGCCACTCAAGATTAGGACCACCCGATTTACATCAAAATTACATCTGCCATTTATTGGATACCGGAAAGCTCACAGGACATACTTTGAACATGTATGCAGTGTAACCAGAAGAGCAAGAGTAACCTACTTAGAAAAAACATGGATTTAGGCTGCCTGGGGCTTAAAACTGCAGGTGTCACACATCCCTTGAGCTGCTGTTGGCACGTTACAGCAGGCTTATTATTCACTTACTAATCTTAAGACTTGTTATCCTGTAACTACTATTAAATAGTCAACAATACTAGAAGTTAAAAAAAGAAAAGGTGGTGATTTGCTAAGTCTCAGCATTAAAATGGGGGGTTGGAGTATATCCCAAAAGTCATTGAGCAGAAGGCAGGAAAACCATGGACAGGCTAAATAAGAATTTGATATACTTTATAATTATAAAGTGAATATATTATTGATTATCTGATTAATGCTGCCAACTTAACCTCTTAACCCTTAAGGACATGTTTGCAGTCCCACAGTTCAATTTCATAGTTTCATAACTACAGAATCTTTTGTTTCAGAGTAGCTACTGAATAATTTATAGTAGTTACAGGATAATAAGACTTAAGATTAATAACTAGATAATAAGCCAAAAGTTAATATATTCTGGGAATGAATGCTAAAACAATCATAGTGAGGAAAGATACAGTTGGCTGTATTGACTTGCAGCATTTATTAAAATCAACTTGTGGCCTTCAAAATAAATCTCTGTTTTTGAAGCCAGCACTTCTATAAATGAATGCACATACAAAAAAGCCCTGACACAATGCTCACCTGACCCCAGGATCCGGTCACCCACTGGGCGCAGGGCTGGGTATTGCAGGGTTGAATATAGCTGGGCCTTTGCACCTCATCACATCTCCCATCCTCAGGGCAGGTGACCAGTCTCTGCTGCTCTCCGCCTCCACACAGCTCTGAACACTGCAGGCATAAATGAGATTGTAGAACTGGGGGGGTTGAGCACTACTTTTGATGTCAGCGGCTCAATCTGAAGACGAACTGAAGTGCTGCTGCCTCTGAGAGCTGGTGGATGGTGGTAGACAAAAGGAGAAAACGTGACTGAAGCATCTCACCTGTCCCCAGGAGGAGGTGTACCAGTCCACACAGAGCTGGGTGTTGCAGGGCAGGCGGGCAGGGGGCCTGAGGGAGACGGCCTGGCAGTGAAAGGGCCGCAGCAGCCTTTGGTCGCGCATGTCGTAACACTGAACCTCACGCAGCTTCACGCCTCCCCCGCAGTTTTTCGAGCACTGTCAACAGAGGACAAAGCATGTTCTCTACACAATAAAATAGATATGTACAGGGGCCTGCAACACATCCTTATCCAGCTAGCTCTGATGATCTCAGTTGGCCAGCTCTATTTAGTGCCTCTCAATACATTTCTTGCAGATTCCATGCATGGCACACTGACAGAAACTGTTTTATCTTTGAATGATATCCTAGCGCCAACGGCTTGTGACAGGTCTTTTGAAATCTATTCTATCAGCCTCTCCTTTGACACTGTAGGTGGTTCCACTCCAGTATCTATGACTTTACACCAGTATATGAAGGATTACACAAGCCACAAAGCAATAGTTTTATGACACATGTACCCAATTTTCCCCTTAAGAAATAAAAAAAAAATAATGAATTAATAATAAACCTTTATTTATATAGCACTTTTTAATTTTAGTTACAAAAAAGTGCTTTACACAGGAATATAACTAAAGGACATCTGGCATCTAAATAAATATAGTGAATATATATAATCAGTGCTATATATTTTTAAGTACAAAAGTACAGTTTCTATTAAGGTATTAATGTATCTGGTGTTCTTAACTAGACCTGTGTCTCATAAGCTCCATTGCTTGGAGTTGATGCTTCATAACAGTATTATGAAAGAAGCAAAGGTCTGTCCCCCTTATGTCAAGTGCTTGGCTGATTAGTCATCTTGCAATTAATGGCATAAATTACTGCTGAAAAGTAAATAACGGCAAAAGTACTGCTGTATAAATACACAAATCAATGCTTATGATTGTGTTATGAAGTTCTTGTGTAGGTTACCTTCTAAAAAAAAGATGTGTTACCTAAATGTTTTTAATATGGGTTTAAAAATACATTTCAGTTTGTGTTTCCAATATTCTCTTGAATGCTATTTCAGATTTAATAGTTCAAATATGGTGATGATAATCCGATATTTTACCAAGAACATATTGGACTAATCATGTTTAGATATGGCTTATGCCTTATTTGAAGTAAGAGAAAAATTGTGCAAATGTGTTCTTTTCACATAATCAGTATGCGCTGATTAGAGTCAAGGGCCTCACCTTGCTCCAATTGCTCATCTTCCAGGCGGAACATGGCCGTAGGTAGCAGCGGCGAGCCGGCGCCGGCCTCTTCGTCATGTCACACTCAGAGTCATTTCCAGTGCTGCAGTGCACTGACCTCCAAATGGCACCAAGCCCACAGCTGGTGGAGCACTGCAAAACGAAAACATGTGGATCCTACAGTCATACAATGTGAAACTCTATCTATTTGTATAACATAAGGCATATGAAGTCTCATGCAAATAAATAAATATAAAAAAACAACAAAATACAAAATGTGCACCACTGTAGATAAGATTTATAGGGAGATAAAGCTCTGCAGTCAGTCATGATCACAACTGGGGTTAGAGTAATATGAACTGTGCACTCTTGCCTTTTCTTGGAAAGAGAAATAAAAAGGCAAGTATATGTTTCTGATAGTGTATTACATCTAGGCATTCAGGTTCAAATCTGTAACAGTAGAGTCACATTATCAGAGGAATTTCAGCTCAGATACTCACAGCACTCCAGTTGCTGGTTCTCCAGAAGACAGTGGAGGATGACGAAAGTGGGGAGGACGTATCTGGCTCAACAGAGTCTGGATGCTGACTAGTTGAACCCTGAGATGGAGACTGCATGGGGTCAGGGGAAGTGGGGCTTTTGAACCTCAGCAATCGAGGAACAATAATTTGGTTGTGGTCAATCTCTGTCCAGGCAAGCGAAGGACCTGGGGTTGCCCACTGCTGTCTACTGGGATCTACATGTTCAGAACCGAGAGTAGCAGCTGGGCTGATGGTGCCAGAAGGTTGGCTCTTAGCATCTGGCATGATGGTGGTTGGAAGGTCTGCTGAAATCCATGAGGGAGACTGCAAATCATTACGCGATTCCACATGAGGTAGGGACTCTGGCCCAGCAGATGAAGTCATGCTACTTTTATTTTCTGCTGGATTATACAGAGCTTGTGAGGAAGGAGGCTCCTGAGAGAAACTATTTAAGGTCATGGAGTCTTCAGCATTAGTGCCAATGTTACTGCTCATTTCAGTATCTTCATACTGACCCCCTGGGGAGGTGCTGATATGCATCTCAAGTGGGTATGTGGTTGTGCTTTCTGATGTCTCATGTAAGGCTGTATTCCATTTGGCAGGAGTAGTGGTGGGGCCCACATATGAGTTCTCAGAGGCACTGGAGGCAATGTGGATTGGTGGAGGAGACTCTGGTAAAAGCCTTTCCCAATCAGTTTCACCCCCAGGGGCATCTTCACCCAACAGTTCCTCCTCCCTATCCACAACGTCTTCATATTTTTGAGTTGCAGGAAGGTCTGTTTTAATCCCTCCATCATTTGTAAGAGGCTCATGTGTCACATAAACATTTGGCATTGCACCATGCAATGTTGTACCTACAGACCTAGAGGGCATCTCATCTGTTGGTAGTGGGCTTTCCACAGTGCTGAGGTCCTGAGCTGGGCCAAGAACATTGGGTTCCTTCCATCTCTGAGAGAATCTGGTGATGGAAGAACGTGGCCTCGCTGTTGTTGCAATAGGCAAGAAGTAGTCCTCAATAACCACATCATCTTCTGAAACATCCTCATCTAGCGGAGGACTTTCTGGCGTTTCGTTGGAAGGGGAAGTAGAGGCAGTTGGTGGGTTAGCAGTGGAGGGTGTGAATGAGGTAGCTGTGGAAGGACCCGGTCTCCGCCTGTAAACTGTGGTAGGACTGAGTTTGGGATCCTGCTTCAAATGAATACCTGAGTAATCAGACACACCAATCCATTCCTTATCAAAATCATAGGACAGATCCTCATGGAACTTTATGAAGTTATAGTCATAGTAAAAATCATCAACTTGGATGTCGTTCTTGATAGACTTTTCAAATTCAGTACGATCACGATACGAGAAATCCCCACCAGCGGCGTTATTGAGGTCTTCGCCATCTCGTGGCTGTGCCCTAGTTGTCCCAACGGCAAATTTCCGCAAGTGGTTATCATCAGGTATTGAGTTTATCTCGTTGAAAACCTCTTTGCTTGATGAGCCACTACCAGACCAGTCAATGTCCACATTTACAGGGCATTCCTGAACGCTGCATGGCATGCTGGAAGCGGGCTTAGCTTGAAGATCGCAGTCCACCCCAGTGTTCCAACTGCACGTCACTTCCCGTGTCTGCACGCCACCTGCACAGCTCTTCGAGCACTGTGGAGAGATGATTGGTTAGAGCTGCCAAGAGCAAAAACCCATGTCAGCAAAAGGAATCAAAGGCAGGGAGCAATAGAGAGAGTGCTGTATTGTAAACTGCTGTACAGAGAGGAAAGAAATGTCTCGTTATATCTCTCAGTATTGATCTGTAAGACTCTTTCAAACTGAATGACGAACTGACACTAAAAAAAAAGTCACACTTTCTCAGGGCAACTTGGGACAAAAAGTTTTGCTCTTGTGAAGGATCTTGGAACAAGTAATCTGCTCATTAAAACAGCTTTTTGACCCGGCTTGACTGATTTATCTAACACCGTGGGGAACCGAAAGCATACATCCAAATGTCAATCAATGCTCTGTGCAACAATCTCGGAGAAAAACAAGGTGAAACAGAATGTGCTTTGCATGGCGTGTGCATCTGGCTGACCCCTTAAAAATTGCAGTCTCGAATGAATTCTGTGTCGATAGAATACCAATGATATCAATGATACAACAATGTCACTTCAGCAAAACAAAGGCCATAGAAGGAGTGGGATCAGTATTACTCAATGTCCTCTGCTTTACTGGCTTTGTTTCCATAATTAACCACAAATCTGCAGGCTTATTATTCAGTTATTAATCTGAAGACTAACCAGTGACTGATATACAAAGTAACTACTTTGATACTAATAAGCAAGTTATAAAGTAATCAGAGTGAGAAGTTCAAGTGTGGGCTCACATATGGATACTTTTATAAGGTTTGCAGTTTAGAGGGATAAAAACAACAAACCCCGCCCTAAAACTACATATTAAGCCTTTAAGGAAGACTCAAAAACATGGCGATTTCTGATGTTTAATCTTCTCCTTTAACGATGTATGTCTCAGTGTTTTGAACAAGAAAACACATGAATAGGAATGTCACAAATCAGACGCAGTTTATCATTATCCGATTAACCAAATCAATAATCAGCACTTACAGATGTGCTCTTCATCTAATCCTGACGACCTGGTTTATTTGCATTACTCGGTGGGCTGATCATTATTTAAACTGCTCCCTACATCTCATGGAAGCTCACCTCTGACCAGTTGCCTGTGATCCAGTCAGCAGGGCAGGGTACCTTGCAGTGGGACACCGGATCAGGTCTGGGTAGGTGCTGGCACTCTGTTGGCTGCAGGGCTTCCTGCTCATCCAGCCCCAAACTCCGAATACATACCACTGTTCTCTTTATCAGCCCCCATTCCCCACAGCTTAATGAGCACTTCTGCCACTCCCCGGTCCACCATCTGCAAAATAAAAACACCACAGAATGACACAGTGATCCCTGAGCTAGAGGTTGAAATATATCGCGCATCATTTCTCAAATATCGATTGTGGGGCTTGAGTCGGTTTGGACTTCTCAAAGCCCCCATCTTCCATACATTATCCTTCCTCTACTTTTAGTACCATGAATTTTTGATCTGGAATTTTGCTGTTGGTACTGAGGACTACAAAGCCAGCATGAGAACATATTGCAAAGCCTAACGTTTTTCGAGACTGCAAATTTTTAAACATTGTTTTGAAGCACTGATCAATAAACACATTTGTTATGGTGGAATTTAAATGTCATTTTGGAAAGCTGATAATTAGGCTGATTCTTTTTCATTTTAGCAATGACATGGAGACAGCTGATACTGCTGATACAAGGTTGCATCAAAGGAAATCCCAACGATTTTTTAAAACTTATGCACAATTTAATTGTTAAGATGCATTGTGCCATTCAAGAGAAACATTACGAGTAATAACTGTTCAGTGTGACACTGATGGGAACCAAATGTCTACAATGTTTAATGTCAGCAAAAAAGGTTACAAATATGGTGCCTGAACTGTTTTGTGGTAATGTAATGGCCTAAAATGTATATTTGTCTAATAAAATTATGGTGGAAAGGTACATGTCAGGCATTGTACGGCAAATTTTTACCCAAAAAGATTTTTTGGGACATATTTTACCATAACGAAGATTACATATAAACACTCAGAAGACACATGAAGCTTCAGTGTTCTTTTTTATAGAAAATGTAATGGCTATATTTGGGTGGTCATTGTGACCCCTGGTTCCTAATACTACCATAATAAAAAAATCTGAGTTGGTAATTTTCTCTACAATGCACCATTTCACATCAAACCACTCAACAACTTTGTTTCCATCTCAGTGACTGAATTCACAGAATTCTCATTTAACAGGTAATATCAGAAATATGGAGTAATTCAGTCTCCTGTGGTTGAGTTCGGCTTGGGATCAAACAGCAAATCCGGATACAGTCGGGATAGGGTTCAAACCTTGATGCTGTGGGTCTGATCAGAATAGTCTCGGGATATGCTCAAGTTCAGATCTAAATTTCAGGTGCAATTAAGGCTCTAGACCTTCCTAAACCTGTTTCTACCTCTAAGTACCACTCAAAGATAACAGCTGGATACCAGAGAAAGTCTAGGTGGAATACACAGCTGGGTGAACATTGGTGCATGGCTTTGTGGACACTCACACAGCTGGGCATAATCCAACGCTGCAGCGCACTCGCTTGTCATCCGGCCGAGTGGCTGGGTCACAGTAATGCTCATCCACAATCCCATGTGTCCGTTCGACACAGTGCACAATCTGTCTCTTGACACCTGAGAAAGACAGAAGGCAGAGTGAAGGGAAATCTGTTAAACAAAACAAACATATAAATGCCAACATTCAAATATTCAAAGAAAATGCATTTCTGATCACATTATGGATATTGTAAGTACTTAAAGAACACTGACCTACTGTAAATTTCATTATAAAGAGAACATAATTAGGCCTTTTCAATCTGATTTAGTGCAGGGTGGTGTGTGAAATGTTGAATGAAAATCATTGTACTCATATTTGGATAGCCATTTTTAAATATGTCTGTGTTGAAATGTTGTGATACATGTTGTGTATCGTGAAAATGTCGTTAAAGATTGTGATATACCCTAGGTTATGGCACATTAATCTATAAGTTATTATTATTATTGAATAAAATAACAGTATAAATTAAACAGAATATAAATAGGGGACTTTTTTTTCTAAATTTCTGCATAATTCACAAGTTGAGATGTGAACAAAGTCAAGTGAAATGATGTGAATTATACAGAAATTCGCAGTTTGAAATGCAGAAAATAGCCATGTTTAGCAAAAATATTGCCTTATAATCCCCTACATGTACCTCTCTGCCTTGAATGGAATATAAAGGCATGCTTTACGTTAAAATGTATTGCAAAACTATCATAAAACAATGCATCAGATATCGTTAGTGACCATTACATGTAACAGCTTATAAGGTAGCTTTTAGATGCATTAAATGCTTCTGAGCCAGTTTGCACTGTAGTCTATACAGTCACTGAATAATATGCCGTATTATGTAAGTCTGAGATTTCAAGAGGTTCGAACGACAAGTGGTTCCAAACAACAGTTTAAGTTGAACCACTCTAAAGCTGTACTGATACAAAGCTATCTGGCTCAAAAGCCCTGAAACAACTCCTGCAGATAACTGTGTGAGAACTCAAACATTGTAATTAATTTAGTTCATTACTGAATTATCTTATTTCTCACATCAAATGATTCCAGAAACACCAACAAAAACATTCAAATCGGTCAGTCATAATGTAATTACAGAAATGTATTTCTTTCATCTACATTCTACTCTACAGAACAGAACCCTCCAAACAGGGCTGTACGATAATGACATAAAATGCGATGTTTCATAAAGTTGTCAGATGTCACACTGACGTACAGACATGTTTTTGTATATGTAAACAGAAATCTAACTGACCTCTCCTTTAAGCAAGCATATTTTTTGTGCACTGAAAGGCTGAGAAAGTCAGCATTGCCTCAACAGTTTTTTCTATACAAGCTACAGAAACAAAATATGTTTGTTTATTGTGACAGTAGTCATTACTACGGCACACGCTTAAAACATAACACTGTAACAATAACAATAACAATACTCTGATGTCTATTTACAGGCTTGTAGTTCAGGATGGAGTTTTTAAGCTGTGCACCTGTGTGTTTTGTAATTGGCCATTTATTCTAATGGTTAAGCTAATTGTCCCGTCTGTTGAAGAGCAGTGTTCAATCCCATTACAGGGAAGCACTCATTAGGCTTTAAACAGTTAGTGTAATGATGACTCTGGAGCTGTGTGTTTGAGGTAATCTGATCTTTCCTGTCACCACAGCTCTTCTTGATGTGTTTATTGCAGAAACTGGTATCGAAAAGATGATAAAAATACTTTTTGTCGTGCAGCCCTACCTCCAAACTTGGGGGTCGTGATGTGGTGTTATAAAGATATACACACTATATGGACAAAAGTATTGAGACACACCTCTTAATCTTGAATTAGGTGTTTTCAGTCCCATTGCCACAGGTGTATAAAATCAAGCACCTAGCCATGCAGTCAGCCTTTACAGACATTTGTGAAAGAATGGGTCGTTCTAAAGAGCTCACTGAATTCAAGCGTAGTGCTGTAATAGGATGCCACCTTTGCAACAAGTCAGTTAATTAAATTCCTTTGCTCCTAGATATTCCACAATCAACTGTGAGTGGTATTATTAGAAAGTGGAAGCATTTAGGAACCACAGCAACTCAGCCACGAAGTGTTAGACCACATGAAATACCAGAGTGGGTCATCCAATACTGAGTACATAAAAGTCGCGAACGCTCTGCTGACTCAATAACTGCAGAGTTACAAACCTCTCAGGCGTTAACATCAGCACAAATACTGTGCGCCGGGAGCTTCACGGCATAGGCTTCCATGGCCAAGCAGCTGCATGCTTAGATCACCAAGCACAATGCCAAGCAAGTGCTGTAAAGCGCACCACCACTGGACTCTAGAGTTGGTGGAATGCATTCTGTGGAGTGATGAATCACGCTTCTCTATCTGGCTGTCTGATGGACGAGTCTGGGTTTGGCAAATGCCAACAGAACATTACCTGCCTGACTGCATTATGCCAACTGTAAAGTTTGGTAGAGGAGGTATAATGCTATGTGGTTGTTTTTCAGCAGTTGGTCTAGACCCCTTAGTTCCAGTGTAGGGAAATCTTAATGCTTCAGCAGAACAAGACATTTTGTACAATGGCACGCTTCCAACTTTGTGGGAACAGTTTGGGGAAGAACCTTTTCTGTTCCAGCATGACTGAGCCCCAGTGTGTAAAGCATGGTTCATAAAGTCATGGCTGGGTGAGTTTGGTGTGGAAGAACTTGACTGGCCCTCAAAGAGCCCTGACCTCAACCCCATCGAACACCTTTGGGATGAAGTAAAATGGCGATTGGGAGCCAGGCCCTCTCGTCCAACATCAGCGTCTGACCTCCCAAATGCTCTTCGGAATAAATGGGCAAAAATTTCATGAAATTAGCCTGTTTGCACAATAAAAAAGACCTCAGTATACTTTCAGGGAAACAATCCCAAAACCATCTTCATAAACTTACAAGCTTGCACACTCTTTGCGGTTCCATTTTGGCTGATCTACACTTAAATGATGCCACGCCTCCTTTGCCTTGTCCAATCATAGGCCTTGTCACATAGTGTTCCTCTGTGGAGTTTGCTCAACTGCCATGAGCGACATGGTGAGAAAAGCCTCTGCATGGCAACTGTGGTTGTTCATTTTGTCCGCAATTACATAATACTGTCCATCGAAGCCAGACAAACCTTGTCTCTGTTAAAAGTATACAGAGGCCTCAAATTTTCACCAAATTCACATTATAATAATTGATTGAAAGTTTAGAACTTCTTTTGATGAGCTATTAGTGAGAAATACTTAATATCGAATTACACCATGCTCACAGATAGAAGCAACTACTAAGGGTTAATTTTGACCTAAATGTCATGTGACATCAAGATACTTGGAAAGTACTGTAATATTGGAGATCCTGAATCCCCGATGCAGCATTTAGAAAAAGAAGTAATAAGCAGGAGAGATGAATGTGAAGAGAAGGTGATGGATGTTTACTGACACGGCTGAGGAATTCAGCAGGAAATGTTTGCCACAGAGGAGCTGGCTGATCAAACAAGCGAACAGACGAACTCCTAATTTTCATTACGCACTCTTATCCCTGAGGCCCTGTGTTTGGTGCATGAAGCACTTCTACCTTCTCTCCCTCCCCTCCTTCCAACTCTCTCACTCTCAGAGCGCTACCCCCTCAAGCTAATTGCGGTCATAACTGCCAGCCTTGAGTGTCAAACTCAGTAAGTGTTGAAGAATCCAGCAGGGAGGTGCGTATACACCGAGGCACCCAGAGGCATTAACCACGGCGGGTTTTCCAGGCCAGCAGCGACTGTGCAACAGATGGTGCATAACCCATTATCCCTAGTGTCAATCATGACTGATTGGTGTGATTTTTACCATGGCCATAAGTGATGGAAGTCAGCTAGCTGGAGAATTCACATTCCCATAACCCATGATTACAATTTCAATCTCACAGTTGAGGAGCTGTATTTTAGCCCAGGTGCTAATTTACAATAAACACTATAGCTTCTTAAACCCAGCCATTAGGCAACCATTATACATGTCACTATATAAGATCAATGGAAACTATCAAGTTTTTTTCCTTGGAAACTAGAGACCGTATATTCTGTGAAAACAAGGAGTGAGATTTGGATAACAAAAATTTGCTGGATCAGATATCGTAGGGAAAAACAAGAATGAACCGATCCGATCGTGTACCAAATCTAGCCTGAAATAGTCTTCCAGTGTGGTGGTAGTGTTTGAGTATTTTGAGTGTGAAAGCCTACTCTTAGATGCTTATTTTCTTAGTAGTTTTAAAGTATCAGACTGGTATCGGTCGATACGCAAGGTTTCGATATCAGTATTGGTATCGTAAAAGAAAAAGTGGCATTGCATCACCTCTAGTGGAAACTTATTAATGCATACAGTGGTTTATAGGGAAAGGGGAGGCTCAACCTCATGCATTTTGATTTTTGCTTTTTAAAAAGGTTAAAAAAAGTATTTGATGTTACTATTTTTATACAAGTAATCTACACATCTCTGCTACAAATGAAACCATAAGCTTTGTTTTCAGCACCTACCATTTATGAAAAATTCTACCAAAACAAGAGTCAGTGCAAACATTACGGCTAACCTCATGGCTTGGGTCAGCTGTAATAGACTGAGGGGCTAGTTGGAACAGTAGCTAAAAAGTCAGATGCAAAACATATTTAATATAATACAAATAAATATTTCAAAATACATATGATTAGAGAAAAGAACCTTTGTCGGAATGTGACAAATTTGATTTTAAACAGTAGGAGCTGAAGTAGCAAAGAATATATCAGCATGATAAAAATGAATTGTTTTAGTTACATGACATCTATAATATGTTTTTGATTAATAAAATAATGTATATAACTTACAAACAAATAGCCTGTTTTGAATTTATGTTGGATGACACGTAATTCTCTCATTATTTACTTAACAAGGCTTAGTTGAAACACTGTGCTAAACACTGTTAAACTAACCTTGTGTGGAGGCTGTAATTTAGCTAGGCCAGCTTTCTTTATATGCTTCAAACCAGTGCTATACTAGTGCTATACTACAGCCATCAAGAGAGAATTCTCAGTAATCTCAGTTAACTCAGTCATCAAAAAACACTTATGATAGAAAAGGTTTAGGG